GTCATTCAAACCCCCAATCAATCAATCAATCAATCAATCAATCAATCAATCAATCAATCATACGTAGTCGCAATGTCATTGATGTGGGTAAAACAATGCCATAAACCACCCATTTGGAACACATTGGAACATGGTTGCGCCGAGATCACCAAGGTGCCCCCGCGTTTTGGAAAAAGGCACGACTTCCAGGGAAAGCTTCGACACAACGAAGCTTGGGTCATTTCTTTAAACAAGGAACGACTTTGTCTTTTGGCTGTACCACCATAACATATCATAAAATGGTGATTTGGGGGATGGTTTTTTGTTGCTTTAATTGCCGACATTACATTACATATCCTGTGGTAATTTCACATATAAGCCTCATATGCAATGAACAATCACATGTCATGAACAGGTAAACCATTATACACGCTTCATTTTCCATAGCAAACTGTTGCATTACCCAAATCCCAGTTGCGAAACAGCCTCCCTGCCCTCCACTTCGGGCACTGTTCACGCATGGCCAAGGAGATTGCATACGAGAGGCCCTGGTCCTGTGGAGTCATCACGCCAAAAAATGTTGGATGAAAAGCGGTCCCCGTTGACCATAGCCAAACCATAGGGAAATGGTTATTTAACCAAGAAACATTATGATTTTATGGGACTTATATGCTATTTTCTATGCTACATACAAGGTGAGCCAGTCCCATTATTTACAGTTAGTCAGTTAGTTACCTCTCATAGTTTCCAACCGGTGCAGGAATTCGCAACCATCCACAGTATCGAAACGTTACCAAAATCTAAACTGAAAACTGGTACCCCTCAATCCACTGATTCAAATTACCATTTCCCCTATGAAAATGGATTGTTCTAAGGGACAATCTACAGGAAACATCAGGAAACCATAGATTTTCCCATGAAATATGAGGCTTTCCTGTAAATTTGCCCTTAAACCAATCCATTGACTATTAAACTGGCCATATTTGAAGGATATATACCCTTTCAAGACAGACCAGCCAACTTGGAGCCTCTGCGAGGGTTTGGGGCTTCGCCTCTCCTGCCTGACGCAGTTTTTGGCCACGCGGTTGGCTTTGGTTCTACCCTCTAGTAAACTAACATAACTATGGAAAATTAAAATCTGTAGTCGATAAATCAACTATTTCTATGGCCATGTTCAATAGTTTTTTCTATGTTACCCAGAGGGTACCAGATTAGGAAATGCTATGGATTCATGAGATTTCTGGTGATTGTAACACCATTTTTGGAGATGTTTGGCGCTTGGGGGTGCATCCCAGACATCGTGGTGAACATCCCCATGGGTTTTTGACCCAACGATTTCTAGGATCTCCCCATGGCTGAAAGATCCACTTCCGATTCGTGGGATGCACCAACTAGGACTATGAACTTTGCCATATTGATCCCTCGGATTTTTTTTTACAGTCGTTCACCTCAAATCCGTACCAAATGTGGTGGTTCAGAAATACCACTTTGGTTCACAAATGATCTCAGTTTTTCTTCCTGCACATTGCCCCTTACCCCGATGAATTTCCTGGAGTTGTACTTCAGTTGCTGAGAAGAACCATCAAGTACCCTCTGGTAATTTAACATAGCTATTGAACATGGCCCATTTATAGTGGATTTTCCCATTGATAGCATTGTGATTTTCCATAGTTTTTTGTTAACGTTTACCAGGCAGGGTAACATATTTTACAACGCAAGGTATTTTTCATAAGGCTTCCGAGATCGGAAAAGAGATCACCGAGGTCACCGGGGTCACCGGGGTTTTATTGGACGTGTGTAACTTCTATGGATTTTCCATTAACCTATGGTAATTAGGTCTACGGTTTAATAACCGTAATACATCTTTAATATAAATAGGGAGGGGGCTGTTGTGGCCGCCTCTTTTTTAACTATTGTTGTCAAGTTTTTAATTAACCATGAACTATTTCACTGGGAAACCTACACAAAAAAGTCATGAATAACTCTTGAACCATTGTTTAGCCAAATGTCTTGCAATTTTATTTGGTAAGTTCCAGGCAGTCTTGACAAATGTCATGGGACACATATGAAATTATTTCGTGAGAAACATTATTTGCAGCCTTTACCAAGTTTTGAAAAGGATCTGAAACTTTAGCAGCAATGGCCCTCAGGTTCATTTCATCAAAGTATCTTTGGTTCAGTTAGTGGTCTGCCTAAAAGGTCTTGCATGTGTATATATACTTTTTCTTTCTAAGTTGTCATCCTTGAAAATCACAAACTTTCTTGCAGCAGCAGTTCAAAATCTCAAGCTTTCAGCTTTCCAGGCATGTCAAAATCATTCAAAATCTGTAGATTTTTGGTATGCAGTTTATATGCAGTTTATATGTAGTTTATATGCAGTTTATATGCAGTTTTCAAAACTGCATATAAACTACATGTAGTTTGGTCAAAACTGCATATAAACTACATGTAGTTTTGAAACTGCATATAAACTGCATATAAACTGCATATAAACTTCATATAAAATTTATATGAAATTCAAGGGCTGACATGTGGTTTTTAAGGATTTTGATTATACATTTGGACTTGATTCCACTGATTCCGAAACCTTTGGACACCAATATGGACATATAAAATTCATAGTGTGATGCAATCAAAACTGGCAATGCCAGCAACTTGTTTCCTTTCCCAAAACTTTGAAACAATTGCAAGTGCAAAGGCCCAGTGCACTTGTTTACAAAAATGATTTGAAGAATCATAAAAGGTTATTTCTGTTCACAAGTAAGTAAGCATCTCTAAAGATCCAAGATCATCATATGTAAATCTCAAGTAAAGAGGTTTCAAGGAACCATAAAAGATTCTTTTGGCTCACAAGGAAACATCTGTACAGGCCCAGGATCATCCCCTACACATGTAAATCTCAAGTAAAGATGCTCTAATATACCACAAAAATCCAAGAACATCACATGTAAATCTCAAGTAAGGATGTTTTAGGCAGGACAATACAAGTTTCTGTTTGTGTTCACAAGTAAACATCTGTACAGGTCCAAGAACATCACATGTAAATCTCAAGTCAAGAGGTTTTAAACAAAACAATAAACTTCTTTGTATTCACAAGTAAGCATTTGTACAGATCCAAGAGCATCACATGTAAATCTCAAGTAAGAATCTTTGGAGGAAACTGTCAGTGAACATATAGAGATTGAAGTGCTAGCTACTATTGGAAAAATGTATATGGAAAATCCAAAACTGTTTCAAGTATCCCCAGGTTTTTGCCTGCAACAAAGAAGCATGTTTCAAATGTTATGGATGCTTGGTCCCAAAATGGTAAAAAGACAATGATATGATCTTTACATGAACCTGCGCCTGGCATAAAGTACTCAGGCTTTGTTTGGAGGGTCACTTGATGGATCCTTAATTGAAGAAACTTCTATGTGCCAATCTTTACTTGTGGATTCAAACAATATGGTATATATTTGATGGATCCTTACTTGAGGAAACTTCCATGTGCTAATGCTTACTTGTGGATTCAAACGACATGGCCTATATTTGATGGATGAGCAGGGAATATAGAAAATTAGCTAACCACATGTTGGAAATTAGTAGTTAAATAGATCTGATGATCTTAGATTAACTTGCTTCAGTAGTCCAGACACAGAGAGAGCGGCGCTAAAAGCCAATAAAGGCAGATGACCAGAGAATATAGAAAATTAGCCAACCACATGCCATAGCTTCAGGAGTCCAGACACAGAGAGAGCGACGCTAAAAGCCAATAAAGGCAGAAGACTAGGGAATATAGAAAATTAGCCAACCATATGTTAGAAAGTAGTAGTTAAATAGATCTGATGATCTTAGATTAACTTGCTTCAGGAGTCCAGACACAGAGAGAGCGGCGCTAAAAGCCAATAAATAAAGGCAGATGACCAGAGAATATAGAAAATTAGCCAACCACATGTTAGTACTTAAATGTTAAATAGATCTGATGATCGTAGATTAGCTTGGATTAATCTGGATTAATCTGGATTAATCTGGGACCAAAAAAACAAAAAAAAACAAAAAAATAAAAATAAAAAAAACAATGTTTTGGAGACTAGTCTAAAGATAGCCCTGATCCAAGTAGTCCTGAAAACATTGTTTTTTTGTTTTTTTTGTTTTTTTTTGTTTTTTTTTGTTTTTTTTGTTTTTTTGGTCCCAGATTAATCCAGATTAATCCTTGGGGCTTGAACAGATATCAACACACAAGTTATCGGAAGGGAATGTTGTGACACCCAAATCTCACAAGAACACAAGTTATCGTTGTGACACCCAAATCTCACAAGAAGTATTCTTTATACATATTAAGTGTGAGATTTGGGCGGCCACAACAGTCCTTTCTGTATAAATAATATAATACAGATGTATGGTATATGATGGAATATCCTATCTGGTTGGTGGGTTTTCGCCACCCCTCTGAAAAATGATGGAGTGAAAGTCAGTTGGGATGATGAAATTCCATTCCCAACTGTTTCTGGAAAGTCATAATCCAGCCATGTTCCAGTCACCACCAACCAGATTTCGATGCGCCCAAGCAGTTTGTACCAGTAAATCAGGCGAATCTTAGGAGCCTGTCGAAAAAAAATGTTTGTTTTTTTGCTGCTTAGGATGTCTTACCATTGATATTAAAAAAAAAAATGTACTAGTTTCAATGAATTGGTTTAAGGGAAAATCTACAGGAAACCAAAGATTTTCCCATGAAATATGAGGTTTTCCTGTAAAATTTCCCTTAAACCAATCCATTGATAGTTTGTATCTAACCAGTCAGTTGACCCAGTAACCACATCTGCACTGATCAATTATAAATCATGATACATCCCACCTCCAAGCCAATGAAGGATCTTCTAGTTACTACCCTTCTCAATGTAACTCAATGTTCGGACCATTTTCCATGTCTGTTGGTTATCCGCCCAGATTCATAAACTGTTTGCTTTAACCATCTTTGGTCATTTACCCAAAATATTGGACAATTCACCAAAAGTTGCCATTTTTCTTTGGTTCTCCGCCCATTTTTGGCTCAGCTTCACCCTTCTTTTGACGCAAAAAAACGTGCCCTACAGCGGGCAGGTGGCCCCCAGTCCCAAGTGCTGCATCTGACAAAGTAGCCGTGCGCTGTGGCGCTGGGAGGCTGATGCCTGTGGAGGTTTGAGGGGTATTGGGGATGTACTTTCTGGTAACATCACTATGTTAGTAACTATTTATTACTATAGATGTACTTTTATAGTACTTTTTTGGGGATGTACTTTATGTTACTTTTAACTATGGAAATCACCAATTTTATTAAGGTAAATCCCATGGTAAATTTGGTAAATTCATTGGCAAATCCCATGGTAAATCCCATAAAATCACCAAATAAACTAACATAACTATGGTAAATCATCTATACACGGTCTATTTTCCATAGCTATTTTTTAACGTTGAAAATGGGGATCTCTTAAGGAAAATATTTGATCAACTCATTACTAAGATGATCAACTGGGCTTCCCAGTTGCGATCCGTAATGAAAAACCTGAAACATAACCATAATATAATACCTGGTTGGTGGTATACCATAATATACTTCATGATTTTCCATTAACCTATGGTAAATTAGGCTCTATGGTTTAATAACCGTAATACATCTTTAATACAATACAGATGTGTGATATATGATGGAATATCCTATCTGGTTGGTGGTTTTTCGCCACCCCTCTGAAAAATGATGGAGTTGGTCAGTTGGGATGATTATTCCATTCCCAACTGAATGGAAAATTAATCCAATTGCTCCAAACCACCAATCAGATACAGGTGTATGGTATAGAACCTATGGCAATATTTGCACGGCCAATGTGATGTTTTTTTGGTTTTAAACTCATCATGATGTTTCCATGCAAACATGGCCCCTGGGTCATCAAAAAGTACACAGGTGTCATGGATTTATAATTTGATTATATTTGATTAGATGGGTATATAAATCATGGGACTTGATACATATATAAATGTATATAATCAGTGAAATCATGACCTTAGATGTGCATTCCAGTTGCGATCTGTGGGTGATAACCATACTCTAAGCATCTCTAACCTAGGTATACATGCCATACAACCTGGTAATATGCAAGGCGAATGCACGGCATTCACAGAACGGCTTTATGATGGTTTATGGAACATCTATAGAAAAACCGCCGGTGAATTCAATTTGGGGTCAAAAACCATTCTGGTTGGTGGTTGAGCCACCCCTCTGAAAAATATGAGTTGGTCAGTTGGGATGATGACATTCCCTCTATTTTAGGAACAATAAAAGCCATGTTCCAAACCACCAACCAGCATGGTTTCCTGATATTGCCTGCAGCTTAAGTTCCCACCAATCCAGGCCCAGGCGAAGTGTGCAGAAAAATTGCCCCATGCTGCACCTCCAGCGCTGTCAGTGTCTGTTGGCACGTCACTGCATCCTGGGTTTTCGAAAAAATATGGGGACATGAAAACCAACACATGATTAGTAATGGTTTTAGTAGTGATGAATAAAAATTAATGGTGATTCACTCATATCAGTAATAGTTGGGGCCTTCACATGATTTTAATAGTAGTAAATAATGATTAATAATGGTTAATAACAGTTGGCAATAGCACTTACAACTGGTTTATACTGACATAAGACCGGGGTGCTTTATTCTACGGGGAAGGGACTAGTCAATTCACACTTTCGTTGAAAGAGACGATGCCGCGTGTCGGTCGTGGGAACCATGGTCTTATTCTTCTGTGGAACTCGAGGTACCCGTTAGCGATCCAACTTGTACCCAAGGTATCCACACGTTTGAAGGATTCAGTCATCAGCGGCAAAAATGGTTCAGAAATAAAATAACTTATGTTACAACGGCCTTCAGTTAACAATGCAACAATGTCACTCGTTTAGATCTCAGAGTATGGGTATGTATGGTCAAATTTGCATACATTGAAGAAAGGACCTTTTTTTATCTATATATATATATATATGCAAATGGACTAAGACCTGTGGATTCCGGCAGCAATTTGACACTTGACAGCACGTTATTTGAATCAGTGAAACCACGAATCGACCCCGTATACCACCCACCATACAAACAAACACAAACAATGCATCTGACAATTTGTTGCATCAATCGTTCATAGTCACAGTAGACAAAGAGACTCTGTAAAACCACGCAAAGACTTATGACACCAACCAAACACCATGTTAAATGATGGTTTAGATCACTTTAAATCCCCATTGTTCGGAACTAACGAACCAGGGTCAACTGAGTCTATTGAGCGATGAAAAATACCATGTCCCATCTCATTATGCTAGTTGGTTGATCGGTTTCCCTTATGTGGGTTGGAGTAATCGCCAATCACCAGGTAGTATAGTTCCTTACTTCACAACCGATCAACCAAGGGTATGTTTATTGGTTCATATTTTGTATCCCCATGCTATTCCCATGATATTCTCATTGTATTTCGATATATGAGTTTTGTAATAACCAATCAACAAGAATAGAATATCCTTACAAAACTCATTAACTCATAACTCAAATCTAAGTCTTGCAAAAACCATAAAAATTGTTATTCCATTGGTGATGTTTCAGTAATTAATGGTTATTACACAAATAATATTCTCAAATGGTTACCAATGGAATAACAGTTTTTAATTGTTATTATGTTATTTATGGTTATTTAATTGTTATTTCACAGGTTATGTTATCAACAAGAGTATTTCTTCATGGCTCAATTGAGCCATCTCCATCCCCAAACCATCCAAGGCACTGCTTGCAGTGAATTCTTGCGAAGCTCCTTGACCAAGCGGACCAAGCGATACGGCCTACATGTTTAAAATCACTTAACATCAATGGACTAGTTTGCTGGGCTAAAAATGGATTTCAGATGATTTCAGCATGATAGATAGGGATTCATTGAACGTGATATAAACTGATTTAACCACTTCTTTTTTGGGGGATTGAATCACCACATGCGATGATAAAAATACCAGTAGTACCACGCAAGGCGGCGGCGGAAGTTTCAAAAGTAGGAAACTTATAGGAGAGATTGTTGTGAATCACGGATGGCACGGCGAATCCACTGATGGACTGAAAGGTGGTTGGGGTTGTGTTTTTTGGAGTGGTTACAATGGTTGCAGTGGTCACCTGGTCGGTCACCTCACCCACAACTGCTGGATGTAGTGTGGTGTGTGGTGTAGTGCAGCTGTAGTTGTAGTTGTAGTGTAGTGAAGTTGTAGTTGTGGTGTAGTGTAAGTAGTGTAGTGTAGTTGCAGTTGAATTTGTGGTGGTGTAATGACTGTAGTGTAATGTAATTTCAGGTATTGTAAAGTAGTCTAGTGAAGTGTGGTGTAAAGTAGCGTAGTTGTATTTGTAGCTGTGTTTGTAGTGTGGTGTAATGTAGTGTAGTGTGGTGTGGTGTGGTGTGGTGTAATGTAGTGTTATGTAGTGGTAGCTGTGGTGGTAGTTGTAATTGTAGTTGTAGTTGAAGTTGTAGTGTAGTGTAATGGAGTCGTGTAGTGGAGTGTAGTGTAATGTAATTAGTGTAGTGTAATGTGGTGTAGTTGTAGTTGTAGTTGTAGCTGCAGTTGCAGTCGTAGTGTAGTGTAATTGAGTGTAGTGTAGTGAAGTGGAGTGGAGTGTAAGGTGTACTTAGTGTAGCGTAGTTGTATAGTTGCAGTTGTACTTAGTGTAGTGTAGTGTGGTGTAATTGAATGTAGTTTGGTGTTGTGGAGTGGAGTGGAGTGGAGTGGAGCGGAGTGTAGTGGAGTGTGGTGTAAAGAAACTCGTGTAATGTAGCGTAATGTAATGTAGTGTAATTGTAGTTGCGGTATAGTGAAGTGGAGTGTAGTGCAGTGGTGGTTGTAGTTGAAACTGCTACAAAACCCTCACGTTTTGCTCACTTTTGACAAGGTGCACAATCCCTTGTGCCTGCCACGCAAAACGACATCCGAACGTCCAAAAGTGCTCCGTACCCCTCAGTGTTTTGCACTTTTGACTTCGAAATGTGCTTCGCGCCACAACGGCGTGCACTTTTTCGATATGTCAACTTCTAAAAATGCTCCGAGACCGTCAGTTTTCAACACTTTTGACTTTGAAATGTGCTTCGCGCCACAACAGTGTGCACTTTTTCGACATGTCAACTTCCAAAAGTGGGTTTTGTACAATTTGATTCGGAAATGTGCTTCGCGCGACAACGGCGTGCAACTTTTCATCTCATCGATCTGACCACATGGCTCCGCACCCGCTTAGCGAGCCTACTTGTCGACCCTCTGGAGCTACAAATCATTGGAAAAAACAGTGTTTCGCGACTTTCCTACCTTTTCGCGCACCTGCATCTTCTTTCTTCTCACTCTTTCTCTTCTCTGATCTTCTCTCTTCGGCTCTTCTCCTCTCTGACTCTTCCCACCTCTGCTATTTTGCATCTGTCCATATTGTCGGAAGTTTGACTTCTAAACTTCGATGATAAACTGATTGGTTTATGGCGATGTTTCCGGTCACATTGTTCCCATACCCGAATTATAAGATGACACTTAATTACCTGTTATCCGACCCTGTTTCATGCCAAATAAATTTAGCTCCATTGCTACCATGAGGATGCTATGCCATGCATTGGCTGGTTGTTGTCCTTCTGGTCTTGTGATTTAAGGTCTGATCTGGACCATGAAATTTAATGCATTGGATCTACGTGCCTTTGAATTGAAACCTCACCAATTGCCAATCAAATGACATTCAAGTATTGAAGTGACCTCCAAAAAGATAGAAAAGTGATGCACCACTATCTTTAGTATCCTTTTTCGGGTCGCTACAGGTACCCCAGTGCTACGAAGCCCGCCGCCCTCCTCATAGAGGCATAAAGCCCATTGCCTCGGGTCATATCATGTCATATCAAAGGGAAAGGCGATGTCACCAACAAAAGGAGACAAAAGGATTGAGTGAACAGATTTCGGAGTAACATGAGTTAAAATTATCATGTATAGTATAGTCAAGAAGAAGAATGAATTTGCAAGCAAATCAGATCTAACCGTCTCAACAATTGGTGTATGCAGAATGAAACTGTAGATATAAGATGATATAAGACACCAATCCTCCGCATGTCATCAGCTGGGCTTGACCAAAAATGGGGATGCCCAAAAAATGCAGTCTTACTGTGAAAAGATCATGATAAACCACTGGATTTCAGTTTTTACTGTCCTTTAGTCAAGGCTTGGTGTCATGTACCATCATTATCCCTCATGTGCCATTCACATTCAAAGACTAAAACCACCCTGCAAGGGTCAACATGACCGTCTCTCACCTGACCTGCGCTTCAAACATGGCAAGAATTCAACGAAACATAACGAAACCCATGTTTCCTTCTTGCAAAGTGCGTTTAATGAGAAATTGTTGAACAACCATGGGATTTGAGTAGTAGGATCCGATTTAACTTCTGAGATTTATTGTATTTTGAAGAGCCACACTGAGACGACGCTACAGCTACAAAGCGGATGGTTGCAAGCCTATAAAAGTCGATTACTACATGGTCTTTACCTGTTTTTTTTTTTAACCTGTGTTTACCCTTCAATATACATGGTCAAACTTTCATAGTCCACAACATTTACCCTCTGGTAAACGTTTACATACCTATGGAAAATCACCATTTTTCATGGGTAAATCCACTATAAATGTGCCATTGTCAATTTTACCCTCTGGTTGTTTAACATAGCCATGGAAAATCCTGTATAAATGGAGGTTTTGATAGGTAAACCATCTATAAATGGGCCATTTTCAATAGCTATGTTTGACATAACCAGAGGGTAGTCATGCAACAAAAACTCAAGGATTAAACTACTCATCCAGTTCTTCTGGGGATGGGGGGCCATACCAATACTATCGCGTCACCAAGGCGACTGTGAAATTCCAGGTCTTGTGGCCATATGTTTCCATACCCATATGCTCTATGTATGGTATATTTACCTACATTTGGGTGATTTTTAGGGCAAATGTTGGTAAATATTCCATACATGGAGCATATGGGATATGGGAGGCCATATGACACATATAATATTAATGACCCTCTTGTAATTCTGATCAGATGGAGGACACCTCTGGCAATTCATGGGTATTTCTCATATCATGAATCATGGGTGGTCAATGGGATTTGATGGGATTTAATGGGATTATAATGGGATCATAATGGGATCATAATGGGATTATAATGGGATTTAATGGGATTTAATGGGATTATAATACACTTCATGAAATATACCCTCTGGTAATTCAACATAGCTATGGAAGCCATGGCCCATAGAAATAGATTAACAAACGGTGATGTACGGTTCTTAAGATGGTGACCAGCATGTGGGTGCGTCTGAAGTGCACTTGACCCAGAAAATGAGTGGGTTCGCCAGTTTAAATATATATATATATTTATATACAGGGATAAAGCATAAATATACCTACTGCAATACAACCTATCATTGTGTACTGTATTATATATATATAATGTGTACAAGTATTTATATATATAATTTATAATGTGTATACTGTATATACATGTATATTCATATATATATATATTATGTCTTGCAAGAATAAATCATTACCGGCCACATCTTCTTCCCAGACCACCAGCTGCCGCTGCGTTGATTTCTGCCCAGTTGCCATTGAAGGCCCATCTGACATGCAGCGATGCAAGCATTGTAGGAAATGATTGTCCCATCAACCAAAGACCTACGCATCTGTAGGAGCAGCCTCAGTTCCAGTTCGCGAATTGGCGTCAAACCTAGGGACCCAAACGGTCTCCTGAAATAGTTGCTTAGTGGTTGTTGATTCCCCCAAGTATGTTAATAATAGGCTTTGACCCATCTCGAATTTGGAGAATTTCAGTAGATCCAACCAGTGTAACCAGGGGTCCTGAGGGGTCTAAGTATACACTTTCATACACTTTCATAGTTGATTCATATTGCCATTACAGTTTATTTCAATTTATTCAACTTCACTTGGTCATTGACAAAGAAAGGCTGGGAGTTACCTTTCATTCTTTGTTGAAGTACTGCCTTTATACCTCGGCAAACATTGGAAGCACTCCTCCAACACTTGCCAATCTAGGATCCATTTGAACATGTTTGAACATTGCTAATTTTCACTGGCCAATTCACGTCTTCACTATTTCAGACATTTATTGGAATCGGGCCTGTACGCAGGAAAAGGAGGTCAGTGACGTTTGATTTGTTGGCCATACCTATTTGCAGATCCAAACAAAGGAATCAACTGACTGAGCTTAAAGTTAAGTTCGTCGAAGAGGTCAAGAGACTCAAGTGAGGTCTGCCAGTTCTCTGCCCCCTGGCATGCGGAAATACCTTGGTTTTGGCATCATCGACATGAAACAGCAGTTCCGACAGGCACAGAATTCCAGTAAAATATCTTGGGAAAACATTTTGTGTAGCGTAGATGACGCCAACATACGGCTGACACATGCTGCAACTATCAAAGTGGGGGGATACCCATGCCATCGTGGATTGGTGGGCGTGGATGATCATCGACATGTGATAATCACCATGATGTAAGCCCTATCAAATGGTGACCAAATGGTGACTACCCATACTGGGACGAACATCCCTGTTGAACAGGACGAATTGAACACCTGTCGTTTGGAAAACCCAATGCCCGTAAACTATACCCTCTGGTAAACGTTTACATAGCTATTGACAATGGCCATTCATAGTGGATTTTCCCATTGAAAATGGTGATTTTCCATAGGTATGTAAACATTTACCAGAGGGTAAAATAAACCATGCCCCAGTCACCTTACCAGTTGAGCTGGGTTCGTCCGGCACTGGCCCCCAGCAATGCAGGTCAGTTCGTATGCCAATGCAATTGAGTTCAAAACCCTCGATCGTCCCTGTACACTGGTAGGATCTCACCTAAGGGATTGTGATCATCCCCAATGTATTGCTTCGATTTCTGGTTGGTGGTATACCTACCTACCCCTCTGAAAAATGTGAGTTCGTCAGTTGGGATGATTCTTCCAAATATATGGAAAGTCATAAAAGCCATGTTCCAAACCACCAACCAGATTTGGTTCGTAGGATCCCCGAACGAATCATCAACCGGTTCCGCGGTTTTCAACTCTGCTCAACTCACCAACGATCCGCGATGTGAAAATCCACTGCCAGGAGACATGCGTTGTATGCGATGACATCTGCCTGCCCAAATCAAGTCATCTGGTTGGTGGTGCAATGTGCCCATCTTGAAAAATGATGGAGTTCGTCAATGGGTTTCGGATGACATCCCATATCTGAAATGAAATTCATAAAATTCATGTTCCAAACCAACCTGTGATTTTTGGATGTTGGAAAAGCATCAACTTACCAAATTGGTTAAATTACCAGAGGGTATCCATCTTGGAACTTCATGGCCATACCGGGACTGGTTCAAAACCCACAGCAGCGGCCGTTGCTTGTCTCAACCTTCGGTGGTCCAAGTATGCATCGTTGGACATGTATAGCTTGGATATGTTATTTCAGAATCATATAATAAGATTCTCTTTGGCCATCAAATCAAACCCAACGAAATAGGAACCGATTATTAAGACATACTGTACACCTCTTAGTACCATGTTTAAACCTTTCAATGCCCTTTAGAAATCACTAAATCACTATTTTTGGTGGCGAAAGCACTTTGAGATCCCAACATCTCAAAACATGGTGATCTTTGAGGACTAATATTAACCACTACTATTGCTTACAATATGTTGCATTTATATCCAAATGATATCCCAATCCGCACTACTATAGATCCAATTACCCTCTGGTAAACGTTTACATAACTAAGGAAAATCACCATGCATTTTTCATGGGTAAATCAACTATTTCTGTGGCCATGTTCAATAGTTTTTTGTATGTTTACCCGAGGGTATATTCCATTAAGTGGATTATAATCCCATTAAACCCCATACCCCATTATAATCCCATTATAATCCCATGAAATTCCATTGACCAGCCATGATTCATGATATGAAATGGGATTATAATCCAGTTAATGATGGGATTACCATTCGCTTTTTCTATGCCGCGCAATAGGGACCATGCAGGTTGGAGGTGCCTATCCTATAGGGCCTATGGCCATGTCCCAAAAAATGGTGGATGATTTGGGGAAACCGCCCTACTTTTAGGGAAACCAATTTTTTTAGAATCATTTAGATATGACAAAAAAAAGATATGGGATTATTACTAAATAGACTATTTTTTGGATTATCAGCATTGTAAATTATTGCAATAGACTATCGGATCACTATACCTGACATAGTCCAACAAATGGAGTACACCCACTACCCACATTGCACCCATTTTCTACATCGAAGACATTTTAAGACTATGGACTATGGGTGTAGTTCCATTTTAGGGTGGTTACAGTTTTTTCGTAAAAGATTCCATAAAATGTTCCATATACCCTCTGGTAAACTAACATACCTATGGAAAATCACCATTTTCAATGAGTAAATCCACTATAAATGGTCATTTTCAATAGCTATGTTGCTATGTTTGTTTACCAGAGGGTAATCATATAGTTTCAAACCTCTGCGGTATAAAAGTGGGATCCGAAACCATCTAAATAACCCTTATAAGGCCGGTATGAAACTATCCAGTCCCCATCCAAAGTATATCTGGTTGGTGGTTTCAACCCCTCTGAAAAATATTAGTCAGTTGGGATTAGTCAGTTGGGATTATTCTTCCCAATATATGGAAAGTCTTAAAAGCCATGTTCCAAACCACCAGATATAGTATATGAAATATTCCCATGGAAATCTTCCATAAATGATTTTTTTTCCAATGGAAATCGTCCAGATTCCATATACATCCAACGTACATCCTATCCTAAACCTCCATTTTTTCAAGAAATTCCCACCGATCATCCCCCACCTGCAGCTGCTCATCCCACATCTCCTGCATCAGCCGCAGAGCCCAGTCCCATGGCACGGCGCTTAAGGCGGCGCCGTAAGTCCTCAGCCGCTGCGGCACCGCAAAAAACCGGTTCATGGCAGCTTAGGAACTGGCGAATGACCATGGAAAAACACGGAAAAAATGGAACAACATGGAAAAACACTGGTATTTCTGGAATATCCTCAATTTTGATCAATTTTGCATGGTTGATAATTCACTTACTAAGTTTTGTGGGGAATACTCTGCGGTAATTTTGTGCCATAGTTAGATGGCCTATTTAGTTCGATGACGTCCCTCTTAAATAGTGATTGTCAATAGTTGTGTTAAATTACTTAGAGGGATGATTACGCAATATGAATCAACATTTGCAACAATGATGAGTAAACTATTATTATTAGAACATTAAAACTATAATAACTATAATATAGGGATGGTGACTATAGAGAACAAACTGTTTTTTTGTAAGCCCAAAAGAGATGCAGAAAGGGTCTGAATTCTCGCCATATTTGTCGGATATTGGTAAGATTTGACATTTCCATCTTTGTTAGGGTTGCTCTTTGAATATTGCCTTTATCAATTGTAAACTCTATTTCCCCTTTGTACTCAAATGAAAAATGTGACTGAATGATAAATACCATCAAAGATTATTAAGCCTATCATAGTTATCATCCCCCATCTAACCTAGTCATCAATATAAAACAAAATATGATGGCACACAACAAATAATCCGAATGCTGGTCATTGCTGGTGTAATGACAACACTGGCTTTAGTGAGTATGATTATCGATCATTGTTATCGCTTTTGTTGGCTAGTAATGGAGAGATATCTATGGTGGCAAAGGCGCGCGGGGGTTTCTCATGGGGAGATATTCATGGGAGGTATGAATTCTCCAACCGTGGGATTTTCCAAGGGTAACAACCAATGTAATTCATCATTATAGCACCACTACACTTGTCTCCCGTAATATGATTATAATAACCACAATCAACATTCATACCCAGTATATACCAGTATGATTGGAGTGCGCATGATGGTGTAGTGATATAAGGTATTGGGCGCATCCCCTTTTTTGTTAACGACGAGACGACGAGTCTCACTACGTTGGGCCGCACGTGGAAGTGATCCGCGTCGTGCAGCAACTGAAGTGCCCAGGCCCAGCGAGTTCCTGGAGCCACGCAGGTCACGTGCGTTTGGCGTGCCACCAATCCGGAACGCAAAGTTGGTGAACATAACTCAGTTATGGCCCTTTATCAATTATATACTTATACAAAAACCAACTTAGCTAACTATGGGGAACCACCTTGTAGGCAAATAGAAAGACAGACGACTAGGAACAACAATATTTAGATAGACAGGAAAGGAGAGGATAGGATAGGATAGAATGAGCTAAGATAAGACAAGACCAGCTAAGATAAGTTACGATAATTACTATAATCTATAAGATAAGAGACAATAAGATCAATAAGATCAATAAGATAAGGTAAGATGAGATAGACAGATAAGATAGACAGGTAGTTAGATATAGATAGATAGATAGATAGATAAATAAATAGACAGATCGATGGATAGATAGCCATAGACAAAAACATAGATTTCGATGAATTTTGGTTCGGTTACATGCGCGGCATGTGGACTGCACTGCACGCGGTGGATCTGGTGCAACCACTGATGTTGTATCCCGATTAGGGTCGTGGAACTCTATTGCGAGATTTTTTTTTCTAAACTCATCAGGATACAACATGAATAGTAATGTAAAACACATACATATCACACCATGATTCTATACACACCTTTTACATATCCATGATCCATGGATTACAAAAGATTACACATATCATCAACCGATTGTTCCATATGTTCCATTATCGAAATATGGGGATGGGTCAAAACCGACTATTACCATATTTGGGGAATGACCATCCATAAACCAGCTATGACTTAGGGTACCGTTTGGGTGCCAGGGTTTTGACTCATACTTGGTGGTGCATCCCACTTAGTAAGGAGGTTCTAACCCTACGTAAATCAACTATAAATGGACATGTTCAATAGCAAACTGTTATATTACCAGAGGGTATATTCCATTAATATCCCAGGAATCTTATTACCATAACGATTAGTTCACTTATTACCATAAGCAGTTATTAGTTACTGTATCTCCAGTTATTAGTTACTGTATGTGTAATCTATGCATATCATCATCATTCACCAGCGGGTCACCACGCTACCACGCTACCATCCCTTTGCTGCGGTCCCTTCTCACAGGCGCTGATCGCTGAGCTAAGGGCAGTCCTGAGTGGTGCCAAACGTCGTATGTTTGTTGCTTATAGTTCCATGGGATTTATCTACTTAGCATGGCCAATCTTAGATACCCTGCAACAAAAAACAACTTGACTTAGCTAGTTAGCAGATACTCCCATTGTCCTAGTTCATATCCAAATAGTTAAGATAGCGATATATCTACAATTATTGGATTTAAACAATGGTTTAGAACTTAACTATACAGTATATTTACTATAATTCCAATCGTCAACTTATGGCCACCTTAGCTATGAAGCACCACCTCCTGCCAGTGGTATTTGTAATGGGATCTACCGACGGAACGTGAGGCTTTTAATGATATGTTATCCGGGATGATACCCTCTGGTAAACAGCCACATAACTATGGACAGATCCACCATTGTTTAATGGGAAAATCCACTATTTCTATGGCCATGTTCAATAGCTATGTAAACGTTTACCAGAGGGTAATGATCATGGCACATCATGGGGCATGACCAAATTGGGGCTTTGATGTGTACAGTGTGTACAGAGATGAATCCAGCATTCATGGGGAGATATACTAGATATACCTGTAAAAATCAGATTTCTTCACTGAAGTTTGGTATAATCCAAACTTCCCCAAATTAGTAAATCCATGTCCACCCATATGGGCAGTTTTGAGTATGGGGGAGGGCTTCGCTAGTCACTTTTTGCCCGCAGTTGATGGACTTTGATGGACTTTGATTCGTGTAACCATGGCAATTTAAACTACGTAGCCATGGGAACTCAAAGCCCTAGAACTTGTGATATAAACATTATAATATGGTTACCCTCTGGTAATTTAACGTAACTATGGAAAATCACCATTTTTAATGGGAAAATCAACTATAAATGGCCATGTTCAATAGCTATGTTAAATTACCAGAGGGTATATATCCACTTTTATCCACTTAGTTCACTGGAACTGCACTTCCAAGCGGTGGCCATGATGAGAACAAATGAGCATTGCAAGAGATCCTTTTTGAGAAGGAACATGGCAATTGGTGCAGATAATCTTGGCAGGAGCACAGATTTTGTCCATGGTCCAACAAACTTGTATGAAGCTCATGTCCGATCACCATCTTGGACAGTGAACCCGGACGGATAAGATGAAAACCATCCCCAAGTATGGGGAAACAAGGCACTTGCTAGCGGTTTACTCGCTGAAGTCATTACGATCACTATTCCAAGCAATTACAGATCAGACAAAAACAAAATATGTGGAACTGCCAACAAGTAATTCTTGCTTCAATCCCCCATATCTAATTTTTCGGAATTCCAACATATTCCAACCAGCTACTCCTTAACCATACTGCAATCCAAGCTGCACAGTGCTCTGAAGGGATTGGTTTGGGAAATATGTCAAGAAATGCAGTGCCAATGGCCATTGAGCGCCTTCTTCACAGGCGCTGATGGCCTAGGGTGGCCCGGGTCACTTGCTCCGTTTATTGCTCCCTCCACGGGAATCTATGGGATGGTCGGATAGCTTTAGTGGGTTGTACGCCCAAAAACCCGAAACAACGACATGTTTCAGGCTGCAATCCATCCAGAAAACTCCACATATACCCCTCCTGACTTGGCGTTGTGGCGCTCAAAGAATGACCTAATTATTACCATCTGGTTATGACTAACATAGCCATGGAAAATCACCATTTTTAATAGGTAAACCATCTATAAATGGGCCATTTTCCATGGCTATGTTAAATAACCAGAGGGTAATTATTAAATTAAACATGGTCATTTCAGGGCTTGAAGCCATACGAGCCTAACCCATCCGATGATGTGTGGATAATAAAAAAACAGAGCCACGGCTATGCAGGCTTTCACTTTTCACACAATGAAATGATACAAACAGGGCCCGTTTTTTTGATGTACCCAAAAAACACATAAAAATCACGAACACAAGCGAAATGAAACAACAAGCAAGAGGATACCCACTACATCCCTAGCAACCAATCAAGAATGAATTGAGAATTGATAATAACCTTACCCTCAATCCCTGATCAATGGTGATAATGATAATCCCTATTGAACAATTCATCAAATCAATCCCAACAACAATGACATATTGAAAATAAACCATTCATTAAAGTACTAAATGTCCATGAAATCTTCACCCATTAGATCTTGCTTTATGGTTCAATCATTTTGAATAAACCCATTGAAATTGTTTGGTGGTTGTCGTAAACTAGATTAAACCAGATTTCATGAGACCAGACTTCCATGGAATCAACCATGAAACCATGAAATCTTCTAAGTCTGGTTGAATCTATAATGGTTCCATCCAAAACAAAAATGAATATTGAGGTTTTAAAATGAAATCCATTAAATCCAGGTTACATTAAAACATACTGTCAATGGAAGAAATCCTGCACCAGTTGGTAGATGAGCAAAATCCCATCTAATAATACCATCATTTACAGTGGTTCATAGTTACCAATAGTTACCAGCTGGTGTAGGATTTCTTCCATCCACGGTATAATCCATTAACATCCATTAAATCCAGGTTCCAATCAACAATATCAAAACGAATCCAGGTTACCCTCTGGTAATTTAACATAACTATGGACAATCACCATAGATATAGTGAATTTTCCCATGAAAAATAGTGATTTTCCATAGTTATGTAAACTTTTACGAGAGGGTACATTAAAAATCATTAAAACATCTCAAAACCCAACCATGAAACCTTCAATCCCCACATCAGCCGAGCGGCAGCTCCAAGGGTCACGGAGCTGAAAGTCAGCCGCTGCTGTGGAATTTCCAACATCAGTTCCAAGGCCTCGAAAACAACGGGCCGGGATACGGTGCAAGTGGCTGGTGTTATGCTCGAGGGTTCGTTTAGGACACCTGGAAATTATATGAAATTATGTCCAGAGCACATAATTGAACTACTCGAATTACTCTTCATCATCTTTGTGGGGCTTACGATCTGTATAACCCATGCAATTATAAAAGGGATAAGCAAATGACCTACAGGAAACTTGTTGACCAGCATTATTAGCCTCTTCAAAATGTTCAAAACATGTCAAAATGAGTCGGTGAATGGTTGGCTTTACGGTAATAAAACAACACTTAAACAGAATTTTCATTAGAGGCCACCGTGTTTAATGTGGGAGTTCACTCGCAGGCAGGCAGAAACTTTCTCACCGGGAGCAACAACTGTCAAACATGTGGACTTAACCGGCAAGTTGGGGTTCGTTACCCTCTGGTAAACGTTTACATAGCTATTGAACATGACCATTTATAGTGGATTTTCCCATTAACAGCATGGTGATTTTCCATAGCTATGTGGCTGTTTACCAGAGGGTAACTCATATCCCATTACGGATCCATGGTGCTGCTATATATGGTAACATGGATCCCATCAATATACGCCCTTTATGTTAGCATATATAGCAGCACCATGGATCCGTCATGGGTATTAGAAAGGGGATTTCAACCAGTCGAAAGCGGACATATGTTCGCTCCAACAGTTTGCTAGTCAAATGCTGGTAAATGGGTTCAGTGACCCCACAGGAGCCGAGACACTGTCTGCCAAAGGCCGGCACGTTCACAGCTGCTCATCAGTGAGTTGTAGGTGATCACATCCGGTCGCAACCTATACCGTGGGCCACTGGCAGTGGGTAAATCTCAACGGAAGTTCGGTGTATCCATGGGCCAACAAAAAAAAAGGCATTCCCTGCAAGTCCTGAGATTTGCTGATGAATATGAATATTCCCATGGGTCGATCTCCCATTTTTTGCTCGGTAAAAATGTTCCATTTCTTTGGCTGCTTCACCCCATGCTTTCTCACCATGATCCCATTTCCCATGTTGACCCCTTCAGAGCTGGACACTATCCAGAAAATCACGGCAAACAGATGCATACAGTAAGTATCCTTGATTCAAGGATCATCAAGGGGTCATGCCCTCACCTGCATCCCCCTGTCATTTCATGGGATGGTCAATGCAGAACATGACCTACTCTCAGGACCTAGCCCTGGATTTTCCCTGTCCCAGTAGCTGCAGAATTTCCAGATCTGCAAAGAGCTGAAAGGCTGACAGCCATTGCGAAGCTTCGCTACAGGCATTCATGCCTCAAGGCTGGCGCTTGGTGTTGGGATTAAAAAAGGTGGATTGTGAAAGCGATGCCAAAATGTGGAGCAACTCATGTGGAACAACATACGAGTACAACTGGTTGGTGGTATACCTACCTACCCCTCTGAAAAATGATGGAGTTCGTCAGTTGGGATTATTATTCCCAATATATGGAAACATAAAACATGTTCCAAGCCACCAACCAGACAATATAGAGTGTGGAAGTTGTACAGTCCAACTCTCATTGACTTGCTACACGATTGGAAGACCCTAAAGCAGAGCTTGGCCTCCAAAGAAGTGCTTCACACGGTCAGCAACGATTGGTCACAAACATGTGCAGGACACATTTTTTGTTCCACCAAAAGCTACCAGTCAGAGGGTTGGCAAATATGTTGGCAGAACTCCAAAATTCTTGTGGGCTAAGTCCCATGCAAGTCACAATATCCACCTCTCAGCACTTTCATCCCAGTTCGAATCATTTCAATGATCATTTCTACAAGGTGGCCCCCTAGTTATAAGTTGGTTTCCAAAGTCCATTAACTATAGCTATAATTAGTTCTAATTGACATAAGCCCTAGGAGTTATGTTCACCAACTTAGCTATCCTTTGGGGGTCCCACCCTTGTACTAATGACTCAACGGGGCCAACTGGCAGCTCCGCTGGTTTTGATTCAGCCAACACCCCGGTTCGATGACCCACTCAAGAATAGATGGTCAATAGTCGCTGTTAGTAGCCATGGTTGGTGGTTGACAAGCCCTTATCAGTTCTGGTGCCACCTTTCCATTATGTCCTACTATCCCACTTATGATTGGTTTGTTCTGGTTTTACACCCCATTTTTGGTATTTCAATCCATCATTTTCGAACCGTTGCATACCTGCCAGGGCTTGACTGTGGTCTTACTGGTTGAAGAGAGAATCTGGAATCTGCACCCTGCAAGATGAGGCCCCCGTTTGAGGCCGCTAAGTTGACGCACATCACTTGGTTCACTATGGTTTGTGTGGGACATACCCTCTGGTAAACTAACATAACAATGGAAAATAACCACGTTGAATAGGTAAATCAACTACAAAGTTCAATAGCTATGTCAGTTCACCGGAAGGTAACTATAGTATTCATGGGTTTATAAACCACCAAACATAAACCTCACATAACCTCACCTTATTTGGTGGTTAGTGGTGGTTAGAAAACATCTTCACAGAATTGGATGATGGGATTTTTGACAGGACAACCCTATATTTGCTGATGAAAAAACCATGGTTTCCGGTTCCGATTTTCCCTCAAACCAATCCATTGACACATGGTTTCCAGAAACCTGTCCCTTAAAGCCTTAAACTAACCAATTCTTGCGCTGCCAGGCTGCAGGAATTGCAAGTGACCAGCGTTCGCTTCAAGCGCAACGACTGGACGATGGAGGTCAATAACCAAATGGCACGCTGCCACCTGGGGCTGTGATGCCGCCATGGGGCCATGGGCAAGTGATATAAACATGTGTATTGTATTCATAATGTAATATAATTTTAGATTAAATTGTCATTATTTATTGTTATATAATATTATATATATACATATAATATATATATATACATACATTATACATATATGTAGGTACATATGTAATGTATGTAAGTGTTGTCACATCATATAAACGCATACACTATATCAATGAATAGTTTATTACTAGTGTATATATATATATATTCGTGTCAAAAAAAAACAACTAAATCATGTGATAACGAGAGAGATCTATCAGGCCACAAGTTTTCTTCTTTCCAAGAGGATCCCAACCATCCCAACCATCCCCAAATGGGAGTTGTTTATGGGAGGTGAATGGGTGCCTTTCCCACATCTTAAAAGCGGGGTGTTAAAAGAATCCTGAACTTAATGGTGCTTTTCAATAATATGTGTTGATAATGTGTGATATAACTGAAATGGACAAGGTTGGGATTGGATACAGTGCTGCAGCCGAGCTATACTAGCTATGCCTTGCTAGCACCACACCTGGTGCCATGGTGCGCCAGGTGCGTTTCAATGCCAGACTTACGACTTGATCGGATTCGATTCGATGCTAAAAACAACGAATCTTCTCCGAGGGTGCTGCGATCTAAAGAGACTTGGAAACCACTGCTGAATCACCACACTTACCCTCTGGTAAACGTTTACATAGCTACTGAAAATGACCCAGTCGAAACAGTGGATTTTCCCATGAAACATGGTGATTTTCCATAGTTTTTTGATGTTTTTTGTATGTTTACCAAAGGGTATCTTCTTTTTACCAGTCATTGATGGGATAATCATGGACCATCCATGAATATCCCAGGAATTTATTGAGCCTACATCAACCATCAGCCAATCATGGCCTTTTTCAGCCAGGTAGCCTGCAAAAAAATGCAGATTCTTAGCTGGTTTTCTCATAGATAATTCCATTGATTCCAAAAGACTAGCTAGGATTCAAGTACCCAAGATTGACATAGAATGACATAGACATCAACTATGTTTTCAATTCTCACTGGGTATGTGTCAAAACCCTGGTAACCTAACGAAGCCAATATAGATGGTAAATGGATGTTCATCAGCAAAATATTTGGACAAAAAGTTTTGACTCATATCTTGGTTACACAGATAAAAACATCACATTTTCTGTTGGATAATCTGCCATTTTCAGCCGCTGATCCTTGAAAGATGATCCGATCCGATCGGCCCAGTGACTGATGGCCACGGCAAGCGCTGATCGCAGCGTTGCACATCCTAAGTCCGCAACTGTTGTTGGGGATCGGTACCTGGCCTGGTAAACGTTGACAAAAAATTGGGATTATAGTGGTATAACCATAGGAAAATGGAGGTTTACCCTCTGGTATATGGAAAATCACCATGTTATTCATGGGTAAATCCACTATTTCGACTGGGCCATGTTCAATAGCAAACTGTTAAAATTACCAGAGGGTAACAGCAACAGAAGCCCGTGGCGATTCCACCAACATCCAGCGCGAGGCTCATGATATCAGGCTGCAAATATCTCCGGACGGTCTCTTCGAAAAAAATGGCCAAAGCGAATTGCCACTCGTTGGCCTGTCACAATGGATTCAATGTGGAGTCTAAACGCAAGCAACAGCATGTAAATCTGAGTTTCCAAGCGTTTACTTCTATCATTGTGCCCCAACATATTGTAAAAGTGAAACTTAGCTCAATAATCAATGTTCGATGCAAATATACTCATAGACTTAGTCTTTAAGATGTCTTATAAGTATTCAACCAAAATTTATATAAGAACTACTTTAACAATGGATCCCACATTAGGTAAGCCTTGAACGTTCCCAGCGATGAGTCCTAGTTTCTCCCATCACTTCACAGGATGTTTTTTGTTAATAATCATTGTCATTACAAACAAAAAATAACAACCATACCATTCATAACAATAATCACATAACATATCACTAAATGGGTTATCGTTAATAATCATTGTCATCAATAATCATTAGTAGTCACCATATCAATTGTCATTGATAATCATTTATAATCATTGTAACATTGTTATTATGATAATAATCAACATTTTGGGGTACCACCATTTTTGGAAACCTCGTAATATATACTCATCCCATCACCAAATCTATGAATAATCCGTAGTAATCCCATAGTAATCATCTAATAATTGTCATCGATTGATAATCACCCACAAAGTAATTTCATAGTTATACTATTAAGCATGAACACAGTAAATCATGCTAATATATAGTAATAATATATATATAATATATATTATATTTATAGTAATCCCATATTTTATATTATGTTATATTGATAATCTATCCTACGGCTCCAAGCACCGTCTCAGACTGTATTTGGAGTTCTTTTGTTGGGTCTAAAAACCTTCTCAGAGGATATTTGGAGCACTAGGGCTAGTAATATATATATATATATATTGTAATCCCATTGCGTAGTAATATTTTGATGGTAATTAACATAGTAATATATAGTGATCCCATACTGTAGTAATCCCATAGTAACTAGTAGTCCCATAGTAATCATCAATTTGTTCCAGAATCATCCCATTTATGATATCATGTCATTAATGTATAATCCAATAGAAATAAATTATAACCATATTTTTCATTGGTGTTTCCGGCCATCATATGCCACTATGATAATTTAATCACATTAAATCCTCGAAAGTTTCATAACTGGTTGGTGGTTTTAACAATCTTGAAATATATGAAAATCAATGGGAAGGATTATCCCATTATATTATGGAACATAAAACATGTTTGAAACCACCAACCAGATTATATAATATTACCATTATCTCTCATGAATATTCCATGAACTATTCCCCTATTATCCCTACTATGCTACTATTGTTGATGCTTAAGTCTACCATTTTCAAATCATAAAATGCCACTATGATAATTTAATCACATTAAATCCTCGAAAGTTTCATAACTGGTTGGTGGTTTTAACAATATTTTGATAATATCATTATCCACTATGATAATATTATAATTAATCATTAATATGTCACTATGAATTATATGATCTTTAATTATTATGAAAAGGTGGCATACTAATAATTAATGAATTAATATGCATTAACATATCATTAATCATTATGCCACTATGATAAATTTCATACAATTCCCCATCCACCTTTTCGCATGCGCTCACCGCAGCGCTGAGCTGCACCACGTTCCTTGCGTTCGTCGCTGACAGCTGCAGCGCCTGGGACCACTGGAGGCCTCGGCTCGGTGTCACCGAAGCGCCGAAGAAAAACGCTGGAACTGGTGGAGTTTCGCTGGGAAAAATGAGAAAAATGGGTGGATTTCCATTGCGAAAACTAGTGGAAACATGAAAAAAACGGAAAAAATGTCACCATATATTTCACCTGAAAAATGCAGGTATCAAGTTTTTTCCAACCTGAATTTCATCGACCCCAAAAATGAAAATCAAATAGGACTGTTCAATGATTTCCATAAAATGGGATTTGTAATTAGGAATAAATGGGATGTTCGGATCATCAATGATCATCATGGATCATCATGATAATCCAGAAGCTGTTTTTTTTTGAATCGGGGGTATCGGGGGTACCTCACGTCGACAAACTATGGAAATGACCATGTGGCCATGGAGAGATTCGCATGTGCCATATGGGTATGGATCAATACCTATTAATACCATTTTTAGGGGGATGAACATCCATTTACCAGCTATTTTTATGTTCACCAGGGGTACAAGGTTTTGACCCACTGCCATATATTTTTGTCATCAATTCGTAGCCTATCCCCATGTTTTTGAATCTGATTCAAATTTCAGTTGCTCTAATGATGGGTATTGTGTTTTCTGTTTTCACAGTCTGGTTTTTATCCTATATGTTTTTTTTCATTTATGTTCTATAGAAAAATCACGAAGAAACTATCCTGTCGCATCCCAGACTTTGAACAGAATCACGTGCGGATCTGCCCAAACTTGCAGAATACTTGGAAAAACTGACCAACTAATGAACCACACCTGTAGTGGTATGTAGTGGTTTTAGATCCATCAAAATTCGAAAGTAGTGTGACATCAAATAATTTAAGGTTTTTATCATGTTGGACATTGCAGGACCCAACGTACAGCATTGGGCAACCCATGGTTGCTTCCGTTGTTTGCCCAGGTGAAAAAAAAAACGAAGCACCCAGTCGCAAGCACTGCAGAGACGCGAGTTGTTTTTGGTAGAATTTCTATATAAATCACAGCGATTCACCCAGAATGGTAGTTAGTGAGCCATGTGTTTGGTTTTGGTCACCAAAACTGGACATGGATGAAAGCATTTTGAAGCCCTGATATAGACGGATGGATAGGTAGGTAGGTAGGTAGGTAGGTAGGTAGGTAGGTAGGTAGATAAATAGATAGATAGATAGATAGGTAGATAGATAGATAGGTAGATAGATAGATAGATAGGTAGATAGATGGGTAGATAGATAGATAGAGATGGATAGAGATAGATAGAGATAGATAGATATAGATAGATATAGATAGAGATAGATAGAGATAGACAGAGATAGATAGAGATAGAGATAGATAGAGATAGATAGAGATAGAGATAGAGATAGAGATAGATAGAGATCGATAGATATCGATGGAGATAGATAGAGATAGATAATGATAGATAACGATAGTTAATGATAGATAATGATAGATAATGATAGATAATGATAGATAATGATACTATTGATAGATCGAGATAGACAGAGGTAGACCGAGATAGATTGCGATAGATCGATAGAACGATAGATCGATAGATGGATCGATCGATAGATAGAGGTAAATAGACAAATAATTACATGCATATATAGGTAAATAGACAAATATATGGATAGATGTACCAAAAAAAACATTGGATACGTGGGCTAGATCGATTTAAATAACAGAATAGAGCCATCTATACATATCATCCCAATAAAAAAACGCCCCGGCATCGCCAAGGCACCCTTCTCACAGGAAGTGATCAAGGCGCCCACTGTAATCCTCGGGCTAAACATCGAAGGGCGAGTCCCGTCCCTGGTATATATTTTGGAGGAAATACCATCAACAAAAAAACATATGGAAACCTTGCGACAGAAATTTGTGCCTCGAAGCAGAATTGCCTTCCCCCCAGAGTCATTCTTGAAAAAATCGGAAGCATGAAATATGATGAAATATGTCCCTTTTGGAATAATTCGTTTTGCAATTGTGGGTGCGCTGCACCTCCACCCCCGTTCAGGATATCTAATCCTGTCACAGGATCTGCCTCTGGATACACCCAAAATTGGGTGCGTTGAGGCGTGGCAGCCGTGTGCAACAAAACTGGACTGTACGCCTCACTCCACAAACAGGTGCCAGAACTCTGCTCCCTGAGTAAGCCTTTTCTCATGATGACTCCAGGAACTCTTTTTCCTTGAGAATTCTGACCTTGCGTTTGGCCTCGTGGGCGTGCTGATGGAAAGTTTTGCATTTGATTGTGGTCTAAATGCAGTTGAAATGTGGTTGTTTTTTGGGAAATGTTTCTTACTATGCAAATGCTACCGTTAAGTAACCTGTCTTGTGATATCATCCCTGGTGACGGGAATCCTTTCAACCCCAAATCAAAGGGAAAATGAACATATAGAAACCAGCAGAAGTCACTGCCAAATTCGAGGCACTTGAGTTCTGAGGAATTCAAATCGAAACAGGAAGAAGTTCATGATGTCTATAGGTTTAGGAACAGCGTGAATCCCAGGATTAATATGTCCATTTAGAAACAGCAAGAGGAACAGCAGGAGACACAGCGATCAATGTGGGGGAAAATTGATCCCACTTAGGTCTTTCCAAGACAGTCGAAAGGGCTCAGGAACCCCAAGGTACACAGTCATCAGTCATCCATTAGCATATTTTTCCTTGCCCAATTCCGGCAGAGGAGAGCTATAGATTCTCAAAAGAAAAATCAGGGCGGATGCCAACATAAACATTTTTGGGCGTATGGAAGTCCCCTGCAGAAAACATATACTTTTATCAGACAGAGTGGGCCACATATCCATGATAGATTTCATTTCAATCTCCCCTTTAAAATCCTTTTATAATCTCATTATATAACCCATATGTTGCGAATCTATCCCACATATCCCCATGCAGTTATAGAGTTTGACAGTTATAACTGGCGTATAATCTCATGTAAATGATTCATAACCTTAGTTGCAGGAGTTATACCATCTGGTTATTTAACATAGCCATGGGGAAATCCCAACCATAAATGGAGGTTTCTAGCTGGGAAAATCATCTTTTTTTTTGGGGGGCCATGGCTTCCATGGCTATGTTGAACAACCAGAGGGTAAATTAAAAATCATTAAAATCTGGATTTAATGTATGTTAATGGATGTTAATTAGGTTCATGATGTTGAAGGTTTCAAACAATGTTATAACATCAGCATCACTGATGAACTGGGGCCATAACTGTGGGTGACATCTTGGGGACAAGCTTCAGATCTGCTTCCAACCCCTGGCTCTTCATGTCATCGAAGACGCGAAACGCGGAAGACCATTGCCTGAGCGGAACACAGCGGTGCGGATCACGGTGGGAAGGAACTGTCATTGAACGGAACTTCAAAAATGATACAGGAGCGCTGGAAGGTTATAAGGAGATCTTATAATGATCATGTGGATTATATAAATCACTGGAGGGGGTAGAACTTAGATAGATGAATTAACTTGCCATAGAATGAATATCCGTGAGCGAGGTTCAAGGATATGAACCAAATGATACTCTTGCTGCTTGTTGCTGCTTAGGAATGGTGTAGTGATCTGATTCATAACTATCCATAACCATCACCAACAATCCCATTCCCATTCCCTCAGCACCACTAAGTACTTATGGTCAAATGCCCTGTCTCTGCTGCATTCATCAAACCAAATTTCAAGCTGAATGATCACAATTATTTTTTGGTCAAACTATTGAATGTTCCGGGCAAGGAAAACAACAACCAACATCAACCATGGTTTGCACCTCAATTTTCGTTCAAAACGTGAATTTCAGGCAGGCTTGAAGTGGAAGGATAAACATGTTTATCAGACTAACGACATATCATGTTACGCATGCACCCATTACATATGGTTCTTATATCTATGACCCTCTATCGGGTAGTGAGAAGTATTGTATGACGCGACACAGGAAGGCACTCATCGTGATCAACGGATTCGCACGGATGCTTTCAAACCCAAAAGTCAACAATCAATAGGGATGGTTTGATGCCGGAAGAAAAATCACAACAACCATACATATATATATATACCCAAAGATCTTAGAACCTTGAAAAATCTGGGGTCCCAAGATTGTTCCGGAACAATTCAGGTCATGAGTGCAAAACCCGGTTTTGGTCTTTTGGTATTTTGGTGTTTTGGCTCTGTCGAAGTGCCTGCGCCTTGGTTTTCCATCACGCTGGGCCCTCAGGTCAGTCTGCCTAGTTCGGGTTAAATTCTGTTCCACATATTGGCCTTAGACCAAGCATCCGCTGCAGCAATTAGATATCTACGGAGGGTCTTTTCTACAGCTACCTGGGGGGATACTCTCCTCATGAGACGACAAGACTTCCCCACCAGGTCCTCTTCCATTTGAACTCCAAAAACCATCGGGTTCAGTACGACACCGTTCAAGTCAGCTTGCCACAGCATTGATCTAAAAATATGCGAAAGCATATGTGCCTTTGCATTCACTAAATACAAAAGATACCCTTCCTGCTTGGCTTGGGATGCCAAGCTCATATACAAATCTAAGAAAACAAATGCCCTTTTCGCAATGGCCACTGCTTCCCAAGAAGGAATCCAAAGAGGGGCAGCGTAGAGCTTGGACCAGACCTGGTTGATGACGCGTGCAGCCAGAGCCTTGGAACGTCAGAGGGCAATAACCACCACACCCATGTGAATCATTGTGAATCTTTCAAAAACAAACAATGTGGCAACATCCGTCCCGTAGCCCCCACATGTTTGTCAGCAAGAAACCGTCTTGACAAACAGGCTGTCAGGTTCAAATTCCTTCTCGTGCCGGTGCAAATAAAATTCGACAAACTTCATCAGTGAGGTGGTGAAATTGCCCTTGGTCCAACCACCAGTGGGGTACTCTGTACCTTTCACATTGAAAAGTTCCTTTGTAAATTTCGAAGCGTAAGTCTGACGCTGATTGCGTCTGCAATACTGTCTGTATTTTTCGTACAAGGCATCCAGTTTAGCATCAATATTGCCCTGTGGCATTGTAGATGTAATCAAGGCTATGGCATTGGAGCAAAAATTTCGCCCCTCACCCAAATGCCAAGTATGCCAGGGATCCGGCGCTAGAAATGTTTCCGGGTAGGATACGTCCCGGCAACAGTTCAGAATAAAGTTCGGGATTGAGTCCCAAGGAGGAATCACCCCCATGTGGAACTGCCATTCAGCGAAAATTGACAAGTCTTCAAAAGGGATTGAAGGCTTCCCACCTTCACATAAGTGACAAACCCCAGGACATGGTTTCGTCTTCTTCGCATGGCCATGCTTTGGCTGGTTGTGAAACGATCTTTGCAGCTGCCCTGCCTTGGCCAGGAAAGGCCAATCACCTTTCATCGCAATTGGAGCGGCCCAGTACTTCCGACCATCCGGCCCCAACAGGCCTTCGGATGTAACCAATGACATGTCTTCAGAAAGCTTTTCCAGTAGACAATGGAAAGCCGAATCATTTTCCCCATATGAAGTCTTCGGCAAGACAGCCAAACAAAATCTAGTACAGTAAGTGCTTCCAATGTAGTTCATCTCCTGGTTGGGCCTCCGAGATGGGGCAGTCTTTTTGTACTTGTGCCTGGAATCTACGCCGGCACCAATGGGCGAATGTGCTGAAAGGATCATCACTGCCGATCTCTTACGTCCACGGCCTTCGTCCCCGTGAAGAAACAATGGGACAGTCCTTCGTAAGGATAACTTCCCTTCATCACTCAGTTGAAATAAGTTGTTGTGCCCATGGCAAACCCGATATCTGTCCCAAAAAAGCTGCAGCTCAAGCTCAGCAGTGGCCATGCAGTCAGCGCCGGCCAGTCTATGCCAGTTGTGGCTTGTCCTCAGGATGCAGGTGGGAATAAGGATGGATATAGACGTTCCACTACAGATGCCACTAGTGAAAAAAGAGGCATAATATTCATGAAAAAACTATGCTACCTACCGATTGGATCCCAGGTTCAAAACAAACCGAAGCCAGTCCGATAGCATCAAGACATGAAAGACTCCAGATGATGCCAACTTGACTGGAGTCAAAGGTATTGGAAGGGCAAGGTCAAACTCTCCACATGTTTTGTGGACTGCGTGTTCAGCATGTTTCTCTGATTTCCGAGCTAGCGAATGCAAAGCAGGTGCTACAGCAGAACCAGCTTCCCCAGTAACAGCCCTGGCTGTCCGCACTGCAGATGCACATGAGGCCTCAGTACGCCAAGCCAAAACCAAGGCAAAGAATGTGTTGAAAGGATGTGCTAGCAAGCGGACTGCCAAACTTACCAAACTGCGCTATACCTCTGCACAGCAAGCTGCAACGCAAGTTTTAATCCGAACCAAGGACTATCTAGCGCTAAAGTTTTGAAGCCAGCTGCAAGGAAAAATCCTCCTGGTGGCTCTAATTGCTGCAGCTATATCTAATTATTGGTTTCTTCCCGAAGCAGCGACTCAGTGGATTTCACCGTGGTTTCAGGGACCACGGCCACGATCCAATACTTTCTCTCCATTGTCAGGGGGTCCACTTGGCATGGTCCTTAATAGGGATACGGGGTCATAGTGGCAATCACTTTCAACTTCTAGATCATTTTTCATCATCCCAGCTTGCATTTGCAAATGTATTTCTGGTATTTTCATTGGGGCACAAAATCACCCAAAACAGAAAAATAATCCGAGTAACTGTTATGGAGACCCAAAGACTTTGCGCTGGTGTTGCCCAAAAGACTCAAAATTTCACGAATAGTAAGCCATTGCCCTGAAGGGATGGTGGATTAACACTACTAAGCGAAAGGGTGCCTGCACAACAAAAATTGTAACATGATGAAGGGAACGTTTGGTATTGGATGGTGTTGTTTTGGCTAGTCCCACCTGAAGACTGGACGGGTGTATTGCGGCGATCGGACATAACAGGCTACCTTCGAAACAAAATCCTTGAGCCTTCAAAATACCCTGGCATTTTGAAGATGGCGGAATAGATAAGCAGTCAACATGGTTCAGTAGATAACAGATGTTTTAACCAATAGCCTTTGAACATGGAGGGAAGCTAATCCTACCACCACCGAGTCAAGGCCATGTTCATGGCGATCCTCTGCTAATGCATGCCAGCCGGGTCTGCAACTCAAGATGGGTCGCTTTTGGTGGCTACATGATTTTATCGTTTGAAACCATCCGATTTGGATGGAGGTTCTTTCAAGCATTTATATACAAGGTAAGTAAAGAAAGGGCCCTCCAAGTTGGCCGCAGGAACCGTATCACCTCCCAAGCGAGTGTTCTTGCATCCACTGAGTCCTTAGGCAAGCCCAACCAAAAAATGGGTAGCACATGTTGAATTAAAAACTCAACAAAATAACATTAGCATTTTGGTTATTTTTTTTAAGAACTTCCATAGTCAGATTGGCACCCCAAAGAAACGAACATAGTACTTTAAATTAGTCCAATTCTGATGAGGTTCCAAGGTATTCTTTAATGAGCACGGCTTCCATCATAGCAGCAGGAACTGGAGTTGCCGACATGTAGATTGCAACCAACCGATCAAACCCTTGTATGCCCGCATTTTTTGAGTAGCCATAAACATCATTACTCCATCTCCATTCCAATGAATGTGTGAACCCGAACTTGTAGGTGCAAGGGTAATTCCTTTTCAGGATGGATCGTACCTCTTGAAAGCAATGCTGTAAAACAGCACCTGTGGCCAATTGTTTTTTGGGAGTACATGACTAATATGTGGAGCATTCAGTTCGGCGAGGCGAACTTCCAGACGTGCCAAGTTTTCCATATCTGCGGGGATGAACTCGCTCCATTCGTCCCTGAGGTCAACCTGGCTAAATGAACTGCACGGCGGGCCCAGCACAACTGCTGCCTCCAGGGGGTGCAGGTCGCGAAACATCTTGAAGTAGGTAAGTAGGTTTGTTTTTTTTGTGGGAAAAATGTAATCAAATTTGTTAGCAGAACCCCACCTGTGGCTGGGCCTTTGGAATCTGAAGGAGCTCAAGCAGCCATTCATCATCGCTATCCATTGCCATAGCTAGATGGTTGTGGTGTTGTGGAAATAGAGTCTGAACATTCAGTTCTTACAATGGTTCTAGTGGACTTTGATATATCATGATGTTTGTTGCGTATGGTGAAAAACTAAACATCAGAACGTTTTATTTTACCGTTCTCTTGTTATGACATCATTGGGCATGCCACAGATTTGGTTCGGCCTGTCTGTCTTGGCAATTGCGAGGCATGTCAAGGTACAACAAATTCAGAAAACACTTGGGGATGCTGCGAAACAACTTGCAACCTTGAGGCCAGGACGCCATCACCAACACTTGCCGCGAGCTGCCGAAGTGTGAGCCCTGGACCTGGCTGTCATTGGAGCCGAAGATACAAGCAAGAATTTATCTTATCAGGCTTAAAATGAATCGACAGTGCAAAGCTTTGAGCAGGGCTTCATTTTCTCTCAGAAGCTCCCATATGTGATTCCCAAACTGGTTCGGCCACTGGTTCGTTGGGACCGAGACAAACATTTCAAGTTGAAAGTATATTGCCCATGCTGGTGTGGGCCGAAAGTTTCTGTCACAAATATTTCAGCGTGGCATCCAACATGCCCCAAGTAAACTGCACATTTATTTCCCCATGTGCTGTCACAGCGGGGCCCCCCGTCAAAAGAGTTCATTCCTGCCGCCTTTCTCGAACCGGCAGACTTAGCTTTGGCCTGACAGTTGGAGGGATCAAGACGTGCATTCCCCAAGGTGGATTGGCAAGTGACTTCAGCCGGCCTTTTTCTTTGGCCTTTTGGCAGGCGTGCTCGGGTCAGCGGCGGGTCGTTTGTTTGACCCCGTTGTGGTCTGTCCCTGCTTCTTGTTCCATGATGCTTTCGCACCCCTTAGACTCTTGGATCATCTAAGATTTAACCATCAAACAAATAGATTGGAACATCATAATTTCCACACACTGAACTTGTTGAGGGTTTGACCGGATCTTCACTTCCAGTGCCAATCCTTTCGAGCACCTTACCCATGAACTATTGTTGAACGGTGAACAGGTTGCCGAACATAGGCTCTTGTATGCTTTAGTAACCATAATGCAACGTATTCCTGCCTGCAGGAGAAAAGGACACTTCCTCAACTTAGCTAGGCACGTGTAGGTAGCACTTTCGATCTTCTTGTCAATTTCCGCCTCAAGCCTGAGGCCCAGAACCCCTACTGGCAGGGAAAGGGCTACCTCTTGAAACTTATATATATTTGGCGATATCTTCACATTTCTATACATGTCTAAGAGATATCTTCCAATAACTTGAATAAAGGCAGGTAACCCAACATAGCCCTGAAGGTCACCTTTGGTTTTGACATGCATCAGGGTATCATATTCGTTTTCCAATGCGTTGCACTTGTCGGCAAGGTCCTTCACTGCCCTTGGCTGGAGCAGGAGAAAAGAGCACCAGGGAGGGCGCTGAAAAGTCAAAGGCTAAAACCCGTGTTGAACTGTCGAAACCCATGGGTACATCCTATGTATATATGCAAACAAAGGTCTGTGTTGCCTTTGGATCATCAAAGTTTTTCTGCAGCTCACCAGAAAGTTGATGTAGCTTACTCGTTTTCTGGAGCACTGACTGCATGAAGCTTTTCAAATCCTTCTCCTGGGAAATCTAAAGTCGGGATAGAGAAGTCCATGCAAACCAAAGATGAGGGGGAACATGACCATACTGCTGCGCATCAACAAGACAAGCGGTTGGCAGGAGACGACATGTCCTTGTCAGCTCCAGTCTGTGTAGCAGGCTCGCCGCCAGGGGTGTCACCAAACAAGGCATCCATGATGCCAGGCTTATTGGGGCCCTCCATAGGGTCATCACTTTCCTGATTGGGTCCATGATACCAGATGGGGGAGCATATCCGGAACACTATCAACATAGACTAATTTTCATATAGGCCGATGGATGAGCTGGTTGAATCTAGCATGTGATTGAATTTAGAAAAGAGTCAGCATAGGAACGTTGCTTTGACTTCTCCACATCAGTCTCTTCGTAGGCGGCAGTTCCGGTGGTTCTGACATCAACCCAAAATTCGTCCACTCCGTCGTATTGGTTCTTCCTGAAACAGGGAGGTGCATTGGCACCCTAAGGGGCTATAGCATCATTTGGAATCATGTGTTATTCAAATTAGGAAATTCAATTTTGAAGACCATGTCGCCTCACAAAAGTGGCCCCATTAGCCCGGCATTTCTTCACAGCTCCTTCGATGCGAGTCCTGAGCGATTGCTATGGCCCTGTTTAAAAAAATTGTAGGTACAACATGCAGTAAGGGAATCCAAGTACTCAATCCCGAACCTGTTTCAACTACTTAGCCTCTGACTCATCCCAGGAAAGAGTATCCCTCATCTCAGACTTGGAATACCACCCTTTCTCGGTTTGAAGACTGGCTTTGTTGCGGCGCTCATGAATCACCGTGATTTCCAGAGTGTGCCCCGGGGGGGTTCGAACTGTTCAATTCGAGTTCGAACTGCCTTCGTAGGTGTGCCTCGAGGGGAGCGGGGGGGGTTCGAGTTCGAGTTCGAGGGTTCGAGTTAACCCG